ATATGGGTTGGTTTCATACAATAGCTATGGTAAATAGTGCTGGAATAAATATGGTTGTGCTGGTAGCTTTACTGTATCCTGGTTTGTGATCTTTTGGATAAATGCTCAGAAGTAGAATTGCTGGGTCATAAGGAAGCTCTAGTTTTTTTAAGGAACCTTCACACTGCTTTCCAGAATGGTTGAACAATCTTATATCCCTACCAACAGTGTCTATAGAGTTCCCTTTTGGCCACATCCCTGCCAGTATTTGTTATTGCTAGTTTTCTTGCTATTGATCATTCTAATTGGGGTGAGGTAGAACCTCAGTGTTGTTCTGATGAGCAATTCTTCCTGTGCCTAAGGGTCATTTTTACTTCATCTTCTGAGAAATCTCTCTTTAAGCCATTAATCCATTTATTAAGTGTGTTGTTGTTTCTTTGAGGGTTTACTTTGTAAGGGTTTGATTTTTTTGAGCTCTAAGTATAGTAGTCCTTTGTCCCGTGGATAGCTAGTAAAACTCTTCTCCCATCTTGTGGGCTTACTATTTAGCTTATTAGCTCTGTCCTTTACCACACAGAAACTTTTAAGTTTGACACAATTCTATTTATTCAGTATTTCTTAGATTTGTTGTGACTATGGATCTTTAAGGAAGTTTTGACTTGTGCCTAGGACCTCTAGTGTTTCCTCTCCCCTTCCTGTAATATTTTCATGGTATCTGGACTTACATTGAGGTCTTTGATCCATTCAGGTGCAAGGTGATATATAAGGATCTAGTTTCAGTTTTCTGCATCTGGCTAGCCAGTTTTGCTAGCACCATTTGTTGAAGAGACTGTCTTTCTTCCAACCTATGTTTTTGTCTTCCTTAGCAAATATTAGATGGTGATAGGTCTGTGGGTTCATTTCTCAGTCTTCTATTCTGTTCCATTGTTCTCAGTAGCTTTTCTGTATGCCAATAAGAAGATTGAGACTCAAATCAGGAAACAACCCATTTGTAATAGCCTCAAAAAAAGATACCTAGGAATTAACTTAAACAAAGATGTGAAGGAATGACCTCTGTTGTGAAAACTACAAATTTGGAAAAAGAAATTGAAGACGTTTCATGCTCCTAGAATAATTAACATTGTGAAAATGGCAATACTGCCCAAAGCAATCCACCAGTTCAATGCAATACACATTAGTTCTATTGGAGGATTAAATATGATTAAAGAATTTCAATTAGTTTAAAATTATTTAGAGGTTACAGAATTACAGTGACATTTTCTTTATAGAAATCTTAAGAAAGATTGTGTGTGTGTATGAGTGTGTGTGTGTGTGTGTGTGTGTGTGTGTGTGTGTTTACTGGTACTGGGTCTGCACTCTTACTTGTCTCTTTTACTGAAGGCTGGAGCTCTACTACTTGAGCCACATCTAAACCTTTAGAAATATCATAGTAAAATTAAGTTCTGATGGCATCTGTAGAGAAAAAAAATAAGTATATCTTGACTGGAAAGTTCAAAATAAAAATTAAAAGGGCAGATGTGCAAAGTTGCAAGAAATTCTGTATTAAGTAGTATTGGCTGTGAGTAGACCCTTATAGATGAATAAGATTCTTTGTATTCATGATCAAATATGTATTATTATTATTATTTAAAAATAATTATCTCTATAGAGTTGTAAGAGATAGAGGAGAATGACAAAAATTTTCATTGACCAAGATGCATTGTACTCAAAAACTGATACAAGTTGACATGTTGAATTGAAATCCCTTTGTAAAAGTACTTAAAAATAAAAATACCTTCATAACACTACTTACTGATTCTAAGTAATGCTGAAACTTCTAACAGATCAGATTTTGTGTAGTACTACAAAACTACAAATACTAGACTATAAATACTAAGTACCAGTGAAGCATTTAAAATTAGGAAATATGTGAGTTGGTGGTGTTATTACCCTGCAGATCATGTAGGGGAAAATGAGGCACAGCAAGGTTAAGTAAGTTGCATAAAGTCACTCAGTAGCCAGAAACAGAGATGATATATCCAGTTTGCCTCTAGAATTCATGGCTACTACATTTCATTCATACCAAAGATCTCATGTGATACTGCCATTGAAATTCAAGACTCAGCACACCTCCTGGCTTGACAGTTAATGAGTATGTGTGTCAGAGCAAAGTAGTTAATTTCTCCAAGTCTCGGTCTCCTTATACTTTTTAAATTTTATTTTTAAGTAGTCATACAAAGAGGTATCAATTTAATGTGTCAGTTTATGAGTAATAATGCATTTTGATCAATATCACTCCTTTCATCAGTCTCCATATTCTTAAAGGACAAACTGTACTATCTTCGTTGTATTGGTTAGAGTGGATGAGCTAAAACAAGTCCAAGATGTCCTCCTAGCACAGACAGAAGTCTTTATGAAGGTTAGATATGATTTCTATTGTCATCACCAGTGTTGTATATGAATCCATGAAGTCTTAGGAGATGAGGGAAGAAGAAGGTTTTTAGACTTCATAGACGAAGTGACATCTCAGTTGAGTCTGGAAACATAGAAATTACTAGAGTTAGGAAGAGAAGCAGGTGAGTTCTGAAAGATGCCTATGACCTTGTGCCCTGGTTGTAGTTTGTAGGAAAGCTTGTCTTGTTCTATGCCTCCTCTCTTCCCTGTCTGCATAGATCTTCCCATCTGATTCAGCACTCTCAACTCAGTCCTCCTTACCTTCTCCTGATTCCTTAAACATACTAGGCACACAACTGCCCGTGCCAACCCACCTGCTGTCTCATTGTTGGGAACATTCTGTCACTAGAAACATACATGGCTCTCTTCACTTAAGTTTTGCTAAATTTGACCCTTTCTGGTTCTTCATTGACACCACTAAATGAAATTGCAATCTGCCCCTGACCTTAACCCTATCTCCCCTACATCCCAGCCCCTTGCTCTGGTTACATTTTTGTTGTTTGGATTGATCACCTTCTTTCACAATATGTAATGTACTGGTGTGAAATTGTTCTTGTTGTTTAATTTTTGTCTTCTACTAGTAAAATACCCCCCCATCCTCTTTATCCTTTTTCTTCTTTCTCCTCCCTCCCTCTTCTTTCTCCTCCCTCCGTCTCCTCCTTCTTTTTGCTGATATTTAGGCTTGAACAGTACTGGGGCTTAACTCAGGGTCTTTCATCTTACACTCTTACTTGACGTTTTTTAAATTTACTGCTGTCCTGGGGCTTGAACTGAGGGTGTGAGCAGATGTCATTTCACTCTTTTGATCAAAGTGAGCACTCTACCACTTGAGACACAGCTCCACTTCCATTTTTTTGGTGGTTATTTGTAGATAAAGATCTAGCCAACTTTCCTGCCCAGTCTGGCTTTGAACACACAAATCCTCAGACCTAAGTCTCATGAGTAGCTTGAATTATAGGCCTGAGCCTCCCAGCTATTGATATGGATTTCTAATTTGGAACAGGCCCTGACATAATACAGGATACTAAATTAAGTTGTCTGATTGTCATAAATATATTTGTCTCAATATTATTGGACAGTGGACATTCAGGAAAGAAAATATGCATAAATTATAGAGATTCAGAGGGCAGTCCAAAAATACACATTTCTATGATTTCTTTAATTGTTTTTAAAATATTGATCTCTAGAGTATCATATTTAGAATGGTTTATTTCAAATACATAGTAGTTTTATATGTGATGAGTATATTCATTTATTCAACTGCCATAATCATTTTACTGTGTATGTATATTATAGCATTATGCTATGCACCTTAAATATTAAGCTGTCATATATATATTGCAATGTGATGATGCATTTCAGATTCTAAATGTTGAGCATATGTATGTATATGTGTGTGTACATATACATATATATAAAAATACATATATACATACATACTGTTGGTAACTAAATTGGAAACCGAAACAGTGGGAGTATACCTGCAATCCTTGCTACTCAGGAAGCTGAGATCTGAGGATGATCAAAGCTACTTCAGGCTCAAAAGTCTGTTAAGACTCATGTCCAGTTACTCCCAAAAGGCCAGAAGTGGCTGAAGTGGTACAGTGCACACACACACAACAACAACAACAACAACAACAAAATTACCCAACAAAAAAAAATAACAAAATACAGTAAATTGGGGACCTTTTCTTTGCTTCATAACGCATGAATAGCTTTCTAAAATAGCACCTGAAATTCTGAAGACAGTGGCTCATAACTGTAATCCTAGCCAATCAGGAGGCTAAGATCTCAGGATCATCCTCCAAAGCCAGCCCAGGCAGGAAAGTCCATGAGAGTCTTACCTCAAATTAACCACTGGAGAGTCTGAAGTGGAGCAGTGGCTTAAATGATAGAGTACTAGCCTTGAGCAAAAAAGCTCAAGGACAGTGCCCAAGCCTGGAGTTCAAACCACAAGACCCAGCACAAAAACGAAACTACGATAAAATGGCACATGATTATCAAGGCTTCTTTCTGACTACTTAAAAAATGGTCTTGTTGATGTAAGTAGTTATATTTACATCAGTATTTTGTATTATGATATTTTTCTTCGCTTGCCTTAATAATATTTTGTGGTGGAAAAATAAACCTGTGTAACACCAAGGTTCAACCTTTAAAAGTAAAAGAGCACTATACCTCATGTGGTTTTTCTGTACCTAAGTCATTACCTTCACCTAAGTCATTACCTTCACCTTATCTTCACATTTATCATTATTCTATTTTGCCATCCAATTTATGTTCTCAGCAGGGAGGCAAAGTTGCCCAGCGGAGGTCCACATTAGTTCCAGGCTGTAGATGTACTTGTTTAGACAAATGAAATGTCAGTTGTTTATGTCTCCGCTTGGCAACTTGTGTCTGCCTTGCAGCAATTTTGATATTTAATTTGAATGTTTTAGTTTATTTCATTTTTTTATTTTGAAAAATACTGACTGACCAAACCATTTAGATAAGATGGTTGTCATTTTTCATGTGTCATGTTTTAAACCTCTGGATGATGTTACTGTAGTTTTATTCATCATATATTTTGTATTTAACATTTCATTTCACAGGCACTCCAGAAAGTCTGAAAGATCTAGCATCCCAAAACAGACTAGGAAAGGCACTGGCTCTGATGCGGAAAGGTAGGCGTGGGGGTGTACTGTCTGCCATCTTCTGTTTTCTTAGGGTCCTCAGGGTACTCTCACTCCCATTTGATGTGACCACCTCTGAATTCCACCTTGTGATGTTCAAAGGAGTTCTTGTAAAGAGTTCTACTCTTTTGTGGGAATAGTGTAATTGAAGAATGTGGAAGGGAGCTATTAAATATTAAGTTACTTTATTTTATTATTTTTAGTTATGCAGAGGGCTTTCAGTTCAGCATGTCGTATATGAGCATAGTGTGTCTCTATCAATGTCACCCTTTCCATTGTTCTTCATACATATTAAGTTTAAAGAGCACTTGTAATTTTCTCTTCTTTGGTCATTGGGATGACTAATAAGGATTAAAACAATACTGGTTTTACTATACATTTTAGGAACTAATACTCTGTTTCTCAGATTATGTGAAATACTTTCAATAGAATATACAAATATCTGAGGTTCAATGGTCCATCTGAATGTCATCTAAGCAAATCTCTTATTTACAAATGGGTAGTGTGTTTCTTGTGTTTTGCAAGTACACATATATACTGAGATTGCATAAAAATTATAAGGAATTACTGAACATTTGTTTACAGTTCATCCAATTCCATAAAGCTTTGGAGTATTTTAGGTGCAATATAATGAGATTTTTTTATGCATAGGAAAACATCTAAGTGGTTCAAGTACTGTATAGTGATTGTCTTTTATCTTAAAATTGTGGCGAACGTGTGAGGACACAGATGCAAGTGAATCAGTGTATTCATGTATCATAGATGCTACAGAGTTATGAAAAAGTACATTGAAAATATAGAAATGAGTAAGATTAAAAGAAATGATAAAATGTTTCATAAATTAGTTTTACTAATCTAAATGCACATGTGAAAGCAAATGTGAGGAGTAGAGTGTTTCATGAACAAGACCAATGTAAGAAAATTCTTTAAGGTTTGAATACCATTGGCACCACTGGCTCATGCCTGTAATCCTAGTTACTCAGGAGGCTGAGAAGATCTGAGGTTTGTGGATCAAAGCCAGCCCAGACAGGAAATTCCTTAAGACTTATCTCTAATCAGCCACCCAAAAAAATTGGAAGAGGAGTGGCACAAGTAGTTTAGTGCTATTCGTGAGTAAGAAAGCTCAAGACAGCACCTAGGTCCTTAGTAAAAGTCCCAGGAACGCCCCCCCCCCCCCCCAGCAAGAAAAAGAGAGAGGGGGAAGGGAGGGAAGAAGGGAGGGAGAGGAAAGGGAGGGAGAGAAAGAGGGGAGGGGGGGGGAATAGATTTGAAATACTTTCTTGAGTTTGGAGAAAGTGCACCAGTTTTTGGAATGGAGAATAGAAATCAAGGGATGGGACAAAGGGTTGAAAATAAAATGGAGACAACCTGAAAAAAAATGAATAACAAGACTCTGGCATGTTAAAACTGTGTTAAAAAATCTCAGTATCTTTATGAGTCATTGATATGCTTTAACCATGGTTCATGGATGATCAGATTTAAAACTTGGGTGGCATTTTGGAAGGTGGATCCAAAGATTCAGGAGTAGATGGAAGACACCAGTTAGACTATAGTAGGCTTGGCTGACATGGAATCTGTACAATTCAGTGATTCATTTCAGTGATTCATTTCATTTAGAAATATGTGCAAGGTATGTATTAAGGATGTATTAAGGTTAGGAACAACTTAGAGGCAAAAATGAAAACTTTCCAGTAAATAGAGATCTGGAAAGGATCTGAGAAGGAAGCTAAGGGATGTGAGATGAAATTTACTCATGGAAAGTGGTCCATGGATATATTGACTATTTAGAAAAGTTTGGAGAGTGTAATTTATACTATAATAATGATCCAGAGTACTTAAAAATAATACACAAAGGAGTTGAACATTGAGTAAAGAAATGAATCAGTAAGGAAATGAATGGATGAATAGATGAATAGTTCTAACAGATATATGAAACAACACCGATTATGTTTCATCTTTCATATTCTTTAATGCAAACCAGCTAACAGAAATAGAAAACTGTTATCTTTCATATGGGTAGATTTGTTTGGTTATAATTACAGTTCTTCATTGACTCTTATTGGAGTAGAAAACTCATGCCTAGATTTTTTTAAGTGAATTGTTGAATAGGTAGATATACAAGAAGAATTGACTTGGATTTTCTATGTTACTTTAGCTCTGATTTCTCCAGAAGATACTTTAAATTGATGGCTAGCTTAAAATGAAGTGAATTCACAATACAAATTCTACATACATTGATTTTGATTTAGTGATGCTGGGGATGAAGCCCAGGACCTCACATCTGCTAGGCAGACACTTGTGTACATCCATGATCTGCACATTGATTCTTGATCATTGTGAATTAACAACTCCCCTTCCAATTATGTATTAGCTCTTGCAAATGCACAGGAAATGATCATGATGTTTAGATGCGTTTTGTTGGTCTTATCAAATGTAGCTTCACAAGAATAGCCTTGGATGAAAATGTTATAAAAGATATGATGGGCAGTTGGAGATAATGGACAGGCAAGAACTGATTTCTATCTTCTGTGCCTGGCCAACTAAAGTGGTCCTTCCTTTGGAATGTCCTCACTCAGATAAAGCACTTAGCTTTTTCCTTTATGTAAAATTCAGCTATAAGCCCTGCTAGCATCATTTCCATTCTAGCAACTCTTCCTCTTGTAGAACTTAAACTCTGCAGTCTGTGACATACTCTGTTTAGACTATGATTTGGAATTGTTTGAAGGTGCACTTTTTATCGTGTACTGTTTGCTATTAGAATGAGCTTATGAAGGTTTTCATCCCTGGAGGAATCATTTGATGACCATGTGTACCACTGCATACCTGTCCCATTTTTTTTTTTTTTTGGCGCTTGTGCAGCTTGAACTCTGGGCCTGGGCACTGTCCCTCAGCTCTTCAGCTCAAAGCTAGTGCTCTACCACTTGAGCCACAGCAGCACTTCCAGTTTTCTGGTGGTTTATTGGAGATAAGAGTCTTGTGGACTTTACTGCCTGGGCTGGCTTTGAACTGTGATCCTCAGATCTCAGCCTCCTAAGTAGCTAAGATTATAGGCGTAAGCCACTGATGATGCCTGCCCTGCCCATTCTTTAGCTAGTCTTAAATAAAGCTCCAGAATGTATTTCTTGGCTTCACTAGAAGCAATTAACTATAAAGCTATTTGTACCCATGGAGTTGACTAAAATGGCAAGGCTCTAGTGAGCATTATCGTTCAGGTTGAGACACTACTCTTAGATGAAGAAATAAGGTGGGATTGAACTCAATGGTTAATATGAAGCATTTGGAAATGTTGAGCTGGAGTGTTCACATACATATATAAATACAACAGGCTGAGTTCTCCTTCAAGGCTCTCTTCATATATTCATTTTCCAAATTGTCAGAATTGTTCTGTTGAGTTCTGCCAAATAATTCAATACTTACATGTATTTATGTTTTGTGTTAAAAGATTGTTTATCCTGAGATGTGAAATTACAGTTTTGTACTTCATGTCAAAGAAACGTCTCATCTCATCAGTTTAATGTTAGAATTAGACAGACCTGTGTGGATCTACATGTTATCTCTGATTTTTGACAAATCTATGACCCTAGCCTCATATTTCTAAAACAATAATAATTATAACATCCCAGGATTGAGACTACATCATTGAGGAAGTATATATACATACTTTCATGATCAGAGACTTACAATCAGAGACATATACAAATTTTGATGATCAGTTAAGAGTAATTGTTTCTCTTCCATCATTTATTCTCCTCTTCTTTCTCTAACATGATCCCTTCAAGTCTCTTCCCTTGTTTTTACATCCTTACATTCTTAGCACATCTCATTTTAGTAAAAAGAAAAAAACCTCAGTATCCTGGATTCTCTTAGGTTTTCATTTCCAGGCCACAGATTTTCTTAATTCTCTTTTCCAAACTAAACTATCTCTGTCTCCATTGTTTCTCCTCTCTCATCAAAGTGCGCATTATCTCCCTACTTCATTCATGTTTGTAGAATTCAGCCTGTAGCCACAATTCTGCCTTACATAGGGAAAGTGTTGTTCCTTTGCTTCTTGGTCTGGGCTTCTTGTGCTCACCACAGATTGGCTAATGTCAGAACCTTTTCCTTACCAATGGGAAAAGCAGAACTTGTGCTAAATGATTGATCTTGATCACAATAGGTTATTTTCGGTTCTAGAAGCCTCTTTGTGGTTCAGCAGCTTGAACACTAAGTCAAGTACTCTGGTGCTGTACAATATTCACCCGAAAACCTACTGATCAACTCCTTAAGTTACTTTTTATACCTTTACCATTCAGTTGAGTACCACATAAAGTCAACCTAATTAGTGACATTTCAGGTCATATTCAAGTTGTCCTTTCTGGGTTTAAAAATGTCATTGATAATGCAGGAAATTTTAGTAAAATTGCAATGATTATGAAATTTCACAGTACTAGGGTGAAAATTATAGGGTAGAAATTTCAAACCTCATTCAGAACGTGTATTTTGGATAAGTTGCTTCTCATTTCCTTTATCACTGAAAATAAAATTGCTTCTTCATAATCCTTCCCATATCAATTTTATACACTTAAGATCATGTGAAAGCCAATTCAGAATGAATGAACAGTACAGTGAATATTGTCTGTTTGTTTTCATTTTTCTTTGGAAATGGAGGTGATAGGTTTGCAGGGTATGACAACAGAGACTGATAAACCGTTAAGCCATGGCTCCAGAAGAGAAAATACACTATTACTAAAGACCTAAGCCGTACCTCTTTGCTATGGACAGCTTAACATTTTCTCAGAGATATCTATTGACTCAGAGATATGAGTCAAAATCATGTCTCTGTGGAAATTAATTTACTGAAAAGGAAGATTTTTCAATATAAATGTAAGCTCAATAAATTGTTCATTAATACTCTTTTGGTGATTATTATTTATATGTTGTTCTCATGAACAAAACCATGCAATAAACACATTTCACATCGTTTCTTCCAAAGAGGGAGATGATACCTCATTCTTTCTGAAAGCATAATACTTGGTATTTGAATTGTTTGTTTATACTGAAAATGATAACAATATAAAAGTATGAAACTGTCTTAAATAAGTATACACATATTTGTTAGTTTGCTGGTTAGTTTATATCAATGCTGGATCCTGAACTCAGGCCACAGCTCTTGCTCAAGGCTAGTGCTCTACTAATTGAGCCATGCCTCCTGCTCTTTGTTGGTTAATTAGACAAAGAGTTTCTTGAGTTTGTGTGCCTGGACTGGTTTCTAACCACTATCCTCAGGTCTCAGCCTCTTGAATAGGATTACAGGCATGAGCTACCAGAGCCTGGCTCCAAAAGTTGGTTTTTATTTATTTATTTATTTATTTTTAATTTTTAAAATTATTTTAGGTATTTGTACAAAGCGATCTAAATTCAACTTGCCAGTTAAAATCTTTAGTTTAAAAAATGTCTTCATCATAATTTTAAACACCATGAAGATAATTGCTGATATTTTAGCAAATACCTTTTCAGTGCATATGAGAATCTGTGACTTACTCACATATCAGCCATTTCCACTCAGTGAGTTGTATAAAATTATTTTTGCTTTAGTAATCTCAAAAAGTGTCCTCCTGCCATAAATTTAATGGTTGCAAAGTAACTTACGAGCACTGTAAAAAACATACTCATCGTTCTGTGTTTTATTTCCTCTTGAAGGCCAGTCCTTGACATAGCCCTTTACTTACTGTTGTAATTTCACTCACTCATTTGGTCAGCCTGACATCATTAAGCTCCTGCTATCTGTACAGGTATATTTTAGGTACCAGAGAGAGCTCAGCAACAACAGTTGAAAGAAAAAAGACAGAAGTCTCTACCCTCAGAGAAATCATAAAGGGTTTATTACAATAGAGAAACCTAGATCTGCCCTCTTAAAAAACTACAAGACATTGACATTGATTGGAACTCCATTTCAATAATTGTGTGATGGATTGTCTTCTGGTTCTTGGGGGAAAAAAATCACAATCTTGTACAGACTAATTAGCTTTTCCTTGGACATATGTGTTGGTATAAATTGAATTTGAACTTGCTGACTGAAGATCTTTTTTGGCCCTAATGTTTTAGGGTTCTCCCACCATGTCTTTCTAGAAGGGGATACGCAGCCCCAAGAGCAACTGGTCAAGCAGTCATTAGGGGAAAACATCCCGCTCGCTCCAGATCGAGTGAGCACTCTAGTGTCAGAACTATGTGTTCTATGCACCACCTTCCCCCCGGAGGCTCGGCGCCACCTTCTCCACTTCTGACAAGGTTGCTATTCAGTGTCCAGCCAGCATTCATGTCCTGCTCCGGGTGTTGGTGTGGTGTTGTACCTTCCTGAGCACTCCAAGCTTTCACTCATTTTTTTGACCCATAGTTTGAATCCTCTCTTTGTGGTACTTAAACCTCTCCTTCATCTTCAATTACTTGCATCTCTCTTCACTGTGCTGGCCATATTCTATAGCTCCTGCCAATTAACTACCATTGAAAAGCAAACTTACCCGTGTTATGTGCTTTCATTTGTTTGTGGCATATCCATATATAATTTATCAGATATGTGGAATTCTTTATGACAAATGACTCGGAATTTAATATGTATTTGCTTTGAAAAGTGTTAAGAGGAATTTAAAAAGGTAACCTTTACGTGTTCATAAAATCTTAGTGTATTTTAAAGTTTTTCACTTAAAAAAATTGGAGGTCATAAAATAAAACAATTGAAAGCCAGCAAGTCAATTTAATTCTGGACAGGGAAACATGTCTGCATGCTTCTCAAATTTTCATTTGTAATTTCAATTGCCACATCAGTGTATCTCATAGCATGTGCCCAGGGTTTTCTTAAATACTTTTTCAAGGTTTTTTCCTACTTAAAAATAAAGGATTTACAGCAAGAATTTCCCATTAATTATAAGCAGTCTAAAGCATGTAGCAATTCAGTAGTAGTCCATTCAGGCAACAGCCTTTCATCACTAATTTTCTTTTTGTCTTTTTAAAACCAAAAGGCTGTGATTAAATATATTTGGTTGATCACTCACAGAAAGAATTAATTTGTCTAATAAATAGGACTTCATCGAAAACTAATAAGAACTGGGTCTGATTCAGCCCAGTTCATTCTGCAGAGCAGTACATGACAGTATATGTCAACTCTAGTTCCTTTTTTGTAACATACCTTTGACATCTATGAAAATATTTGAGTTTCCATCCAATGGCTCAGTTACTTTTATGCCTATTGTAGTAGTAACAGGAAGAAGAAAAAGATCACGGTCAGGTTGTATTGGAATTTCAGCCCCCTTCTCTGCTTTTTGTCTGCAGAATGCAAAGACAAGGAAGTTCCAGCCAATCTCCCCCAACAGACAGCGGCCTGGGCAGCCGGAGGGGAAGACAGCTTCCACAGGTGCCGGTGAGGAGCGGCAGTATAGAACAAGGTATCCCACAGAGACACATCCTAGTCCAAAACTCTTGGTGTGGAGAACCTCCCCCTTTGATACTCTTTTTTATTAAACAAATAGTGTTTTGATTATATGTAGTTTGATGGGTCCTAAAAACAATGAACCCTTTTAGAACTTTATCCATAACGTGGTTTTGGTGATTTGTAGTATATGCTAATTTTTGCTGAGTAAATGGTTCTTTCACAGGATGGAGGAATCCCCACAGGCAGTTTCAAAGATTTAAAGGTAGAAGATTAAAAACTTAAAAACATTAGGACAGTTTGATTTTGTGGATATTAAAAGACTTCATGCACACTATTTTTCAAACTTCTAAACTTAAATACAGTCATATTGAATGTATTACTAGATTTTAAAGTTTTTCACTTGATTGGTGATATCTTACATTTTTACATGAAAAGTGAATATAAATTTGGATGTCATTAGTCAATAATCATTTTAAGGAAGTATGCATTGTTTTATTTTAGGTAGAAGAAAATTTGTGTGTCTGTGAGAGAGAGAGAGAGAGAGAAAGAGAGAGAGAGAGAGAGAGAGAGAGAGATCTGAAACTGAATTCGAAACTACTTGAACTAAATGATTTGAGTACCAGGTGAAAGTAGTATTTTTTATGTGCTCAATGTCTCAGGACTTATTCTTAGTATTTTTTAGACACATGGTCCTTACTTGAGATGTAAAACTACTGAAATATTTTCTAATTGGAGGTTTTATTATAAATGCAAGGGAGATTTATTTAAAGCACATATTGAAATTTGAAATTTTTCATCCCTATGGGACAACTAAAAATTTAAATTTTGAATAGTTTTCAAGAGTTACTTATTACTGAAGTAGTGTATATTCTATACCATGTGGAGGGTGCTGGGTACATAGTCACTTAATTGAAGTGTTATATCAAATGTATCAGAATTGTTAAGTTTCTGAGAAAAGAAAAACATTGTTTCACAGACTTACATGACATAATGTGCCTTGCAGAATATTCGATTATAGAACACTGTGTAGGTTTTTAGAAGAATCAACTTAGTAAGTAGGGCTGGTGTTGTAAATTCTGAGTTTGTATTTTTTTTAAATCTTACTTTCGGTTGATATATCATGCTTTAGTTTTCACAGTTGCTGTAAAATAATTCATGCAATCAAGAAAATGTGTTTTTGTGAAGCTCTTGGGTTTTTTCTGCAATAATAGTTAATGTATTAGAATTATCCATTCAGTGTGTTTAATGGATATTCTATTTTCTGGGAATATTTTGAGAAGATGATTTAAAATTAATGATAGTTAAATTCTATGTATAAGCTGGACAAAATTTATTTAGAAATAAAAACTTTTTTAAGTTACTCATGAACTCCTGTTGCACAACTGAAAAACTTCAAAATTTGGTGTTTACTTATATTTTCAGTGTCACTAATCACATTGATATTCAAAAAGTTGCTAGCCCAAAATTCTTTGCATTTCCTCCAGTTGCAAGTAAAATGCTATACGAGTTCCAAGTGTATAAGTTTATTAATATAATTCTTACACATTGAGAGACTCTAGTTCTGTTACTGCTGCAGAAATAAGAATTGTTCATGTGAAATCAGTTGGATTGTATATTGGCTTTTTAAAAATCTCGTGTTCCTCTGTAATCTCAGTATTGCTGTTCATGGTATTCGTATTTACAGTTATCTTTCAGAGAAATAATCAATTTGTAAGGATTGAAGTTGAGGTGGAAGAAGAGAGTGACATTGGTGGAATTATTTCGATACTTAATATCACAAATATACTAGGAAGTCCTTTGGGTCATTTGCCCTTCTTGATGTATATGGTCTTAAAAGTCATGGAGATAAAGCTTTAAAAAACTGGTGACAAGCATGTGCCTAGATGTTCTTCTATAAGTGTAATAGATATGGTTACCTTATGATGTTAATGTATGTGTGGAACTTCTTGTAGATGATCTGACTGTCTACATTATCTTCTTATAAAATACGTTTTCAAGGGGAAACTGCTAATGTGATTCATGGGTTTTCTCCTTCATGTTTATCTTAGTCTACTCACAATGGATTTGACTTTTCTTAAAGTTACAGCATTATATTATTTTTTTCTTTCAAATGCATTTCCTAAATGTTAATTCTTTCTTACGTGAGGTTTAATGTTGACTGCAGTTTGCTTGTAATTCATTAATCCTCTAGTATCCTTGAATTCCTTTTGGTCTTTTCTGTTTTGTTTTTAATACAGGGTGGTTTCATGAGTTCTAAAACTTTATTTATTAATAGATTTGTTAAACAACCAGTTGGTAAGAGCATATATTTCTGATGGTTTAGCTTCCTAGTGGTAAAACTTCTTAATATAGTTTATAAAATAATTTTGTTCATAAAGTTTCTGCAAACAGTTCTCTGCATTATTGTTTTAGGTTGTATGACAATTTGTTTTTCTTGTAAAGGGAGTCGACAATGTTATCTTTGTACCATAAAAGCAATACCTCCTGTTTCAAAGGCTAGCATAGAGAAAGATATGTTAGATGGGTGCTAGTGGTTCACACCTGTAATTCTAGCTACTTAGAAGGCTGAGACATGAGAACCCTCATTCAAAGCCATGGTTGAAAGCTAACCTTAGCAAGAAAGTCTGTGAGATGCTTATCTCCAAATAAACACCAAAATTCCAGAAGTAGAGCTGTGGCTCTAGTGTAGAGCAATAACCTTGACCATCAAAGCTCAGGAACATACCCAGGCCCTGAGTTCAAGCCCCAGAACCAGCACACACGATAAAAAAAAGAGAAACAAGATATGGTAATAAACATTTCTTTCAGTTTATTTATTAATTTTTGAAAAAGTACTTTGAAGTTTCTTTTTCAAGTAGGAAATGCTAGCCTGTTTTCTGTATGACATCTGGTCATGTTGGAATATAATTGCTACAATAAAGAAATAAATTGCTATAATAAAGATTTTGAGACAAAAGTAGTTGAAGAGTAGTAGTTTGTAACTTAAGTAACTCTCACAATAGTGAAAGATGAAAGCAAAGACTTATGGAATTTCTTTGGCTGTATTTCAACACTGTATTTTACCTTAGCACTTATATAGAACAAGGCTGAAGGCCATTGATTGCATAAGAATGTGTGTTGTTTCAAAACATATCAGTGACTTTTTTTGTGCTTACTTGGATGTCTTCTAAAGAAGTATTGAAAGATCATTTACAAACTAACAGTGGTATGCATATTAATTGTGAACATTATAGTTGCTTATTAATTATACTGCCTAAAACCCTTAAGAGTAGTCATCTTCAAAATTCTCTAGGGAGGCCCTGATACTTCAATGAATACTATGCTAACTTGAGTCGAGAAAAAGCTTTATGAAATGTCTAAGAAATAAGATATGCAAAACAAAGTAATTTTAGTATGGAATACTTTAATAAAATTAATATGACAAGGAAGAAAAAATACAGAAATTTAAAAGCATTTTTCATATAGAAAATGTTACAGGATAGTTTCCATGGGGCAAATAAATTGTGTACTGTTCTTAGTAAAAATGGAATTTATTTATTGAAGTTATTTTATTTCAACTTGTACAGAATTCCATTTTTCATGGCAAAAGTTTTATGAATATTGTGCATGATTTTAATGTATTTACAATATAAAACTACAGGGGGTATTAACTTGAAATGTTTTAGTGAAAATGGTGCTAAAATGTATAATTCTTAAAATATGAGAAAAATACTAAGAAAAAACTCTTTAAATGTTAAGCATATTTTACCCAGTATTTTCATTTTATTTTAAATCTTTATCTTTCTGTATTCACTTTTTTTTCTTTGATTGATTTTAGTACCATATTTGAGACACCCCCATGGCTGGTCATTGCAGTTTATCATGTCACTTTATGTGTTATGCATTTTACTACTCATACCATTGTGTTAATTCATATTTCCATGTCTAACTATAAATTTGCTGATTTCTTTCTTTTGTTTCCATCATTATGTGCATTTAATTCATTGAAGAACAAGAAAAATATAACTCTTCCACTAAAGGTAAATATTAGTGTAACTTTTTAACTATTTACTACTATTATGTTTCTTTTACAACATGCAAGAGTTATATAACTGTATTTCTTGATCTAGTAATAAAAATTATTTGACAGGTAGTTTTCCCCTCTGGAGTGATTTTATAGGACACTTAAATATTGTGTGTAGTTTACCTCAAAGAGGAAATTCACTTTTCCCTTTTTTATACTTTTATAATTTTTTAATTTCATTACCAAAGTGATGTACAGAGGGGTTACACTTACATAAGTAAAGTAGTGATTGAAAATATCACTTTAAGACTAACATAGCTTTGTTTCAAAATTTATTCATCCACTGTAATGATTAAAATCAATTCTGTAGAAAATAATAATGCATAATATATATTAATATTTTATAACAAAAATATATGGCATATTCTTTATTTGCTTCTGTTTCATTTTCGTTTTCATTGCCTGCTCTCATACATAAAGGATTAAGTTCTTACTTTCTATTCAGTATAATATCTCCTCAAAATGAACAGACAGAAATTACCTGGATTTAACACGTACATGAACCTTAGTGAACTTTTTAAACCCACTCAGACATCTGGAAGGCAGTTCTTCCAAATCTCAATATCATTTTAATACCCATAGATTCTATCTTTTGAGATACATATGAAAGAAAATCACTCAGGTTGATGTATTGATCCATTGCTGACCTCCTCCTTTGTATCTTTGGATTCTATATTTTTAATCTTTGCCCTTGAGTTTCCACTAGGCTGCAAGCTGACCTCAAGTCTGTTCCCATGCTATTTCTTATTAAATATTATCATTAATTGATAAGCAAATAATGGAATTGAGTTTCCAACTTAGTGCGACAATGTTAATAATACAACATTGAAGTTAAAATTATAACATTGAAATTACATAAAGCTGTAATAGTTTAATAATGGTTCATTAATTCAGAATTTGAAAGTGTATTGGTTGACTTAATTTGTTGCCCATAGTAACCCTCAAATCTA